CATTACGCACCTCTCTTTCTTTGTTTTTCTTCTCTTCCTCGATACGAGCTTTCTCTTCCTAAAAAATACATGAAATAATTCTAGCATATAGCTAATAGCTATTTCAAAAAAGGTTGTCGGATAAAATAGCGAGAGTAGCCATGGGTTTTGCTACAGTTGAAAAGGCATTAACAACTGATTTGTACTTAAGATGGTCTGTGGTAAACATTGGCTCCATTTAGTCTCCATTTCTATGCAAGGTGAATCCAATAAGTGAAATTTTGTTTATCAAAACAGTGTAATAATAGTTCCTTTCGGCCGTGCAATCTCCCTTCGACAATCGTCGCTCGCCGTTCTCCCCGACAACGTTTTTTAAAATAACTGTATATTTTGTATGGATCATTTTCTGAAATCGCTGTATAATAACGGATGTGATAGTGATGTTTGCGCTGATGATGATATTGACTAACCTCATGTGCAGCCTTATTTTCTGCATTGATCCTTTTAATGGCATCTTCAAGATTTTTTTCTGCTGCCTTCCTGTCTTTTTCCATTTCTTCTCGGTACATTCTTGACATGTTATCTCGGTCTTCTTTCGCCTGGGCCTCTTTTGCTGACATCTGCACCAGTGTAAGAAATCACACATTTTATTCAATTGTACATATTAGGTGATCTTTACGATGACGCGACTTCCAGAATGCTTTGCCAACTTTCTATTGTAATGTAATGTTTTTCGTTTTATAAACTTCCAAGGGATTAAAAATCTGAATAGCAGAGAGAGAATGTTGCAAGCGGTATTAAGATGACGCCATGATGCACATCGCCAATTTGAAGACATTTTTGAACTACGCAAATCATGTAGTAGAGCATTAGAGTGTTCTCTCAACTCAAGTAAAATATAAAATAATAACAACGCTTTGCTTAAAGGTCACTTTTCTATGCACTTGTGGAAACACGGTTTGTTTTGCACATTGCAAGCAATTACAATCAATGTGCGCGTTATATAATAGTTAATTTATAATAATAATAATTAAAAGACTTAAAACAAACGCTAAAATAGCACTTCAATCACTTCTCTTTGCTTCAATTAGATTAGATAAGTTTGTTTTCAAGAATTTAACCTGTTCTCTAAGAAGTTTAATTTCCTGATCTCTTTGTTCGAAGTTCTTTTTAACCATCTTAGCATAATCGTCCATGATAGTTTTTTGGTGTGCAAGAGCATCTTCTCTTTCTTTTTTTTGAGCTTCAAAGTTGGCCTCCATCATATTTCTCATTTGTTCTCTTTGGTCCTCCAAGCTTTTCGTATACATCTCTTGCATTCTGATTTTATCCTCTTCTTGCTTTTTGTAGAACATATCTCGCTGAAAAAGATGTAGTTATTTGGTCAGACTCACTCTTGATTGAAAAATCTGCTCGCACCATTTCTCCGGGGTTTAGTAATACTTTTCTTTCCGCGTACAAATATTAAAGAATACATGTTCTGACCTCTTTTTGTCTGTCTCTTTGTTCTTTCTCCAGACGTTTCATTTCTTCCTTAAAAGAAAATATCAAAATCGTATAGAGCAGAGTCACATGAACCATGAAATAAGAACTAAAAAGTACCAACTAATAGGCACTATTAGTTCCTAATAGTCGTTAGCACTGAACCAGAACAGTTTATTTGATCCAATAAGCAATACCCAAGAGAACACTATAACAATCAAAGTAATCTCTTTGTACTGTTCTGGTTCAGTGATAGTGTCTAAATAGTGCCTATTAGTAACTAAGTATTTAGTTTCTATTTCATGGTTCAAGTGACTCTGCTCTACTGAAACAGCTGAACATATGATCTATTATATCCCAACAATATATTTTCACGCGCATCCATTGGTCCAAAGGCGTCACGTGGTACATTTTCGGCGGAAGAGTATCAGGCGATATCCCCCGTCCGAAGGTGATATTTGTCCGCGTAAGTTTTCAGATTTGTTTTTGACACAAAAAAAAGGTATGGAAAGTGATCAAATGATTAACCAATCAAATAACGAAAAAATTACTGTGAACCAATCACATCGTGTGTAGATTTTACCTTGCACTTTGATGGCTTTTCTTCCTCAACACAACAAAATGAATTCGTTGGGATATAAAATAAATAAACCCCTTCTTGGCTCACTGTGATATCGGCTGATAATGTCATCAGCCGATATCCCAGCCGCCAGAAGGGGTTTATTTACTAAATATATAGAGGATATTAAATGGGCGCGCGGAGATGCGGATTTTATAAAAATTCGTATCTCCAAGCGACCATGTAATATTCAGTTTGTCATATAATTACATATGAGAGTAAATTATGTTGTAAAATGGTTTTTTCTTTCTTCCGCTATAGAGAGAAACCTTGAATGTGTCAGGTATTTTATAGATAATTGTGTATGATAAAAGATTATAAAACGCAGATATGATTTATCTGTAATAAATAGCTCTTTTACTCACTTTGGCTCTTTCTCTTTCCTGCTCCATGATGGCTTTTTGTGTTTTTTCCTTTGCTAGCAAAGCATCGTAGTTTTTCAGCTTTTTCAGGATGTCCCAGTTTCTAGTCATTTCGTCATTTAGCCTCTAAAAGTCAAGTAGGGGGCTGTAATAGGGGGCTGTAATAGAGGGCTGTAATAGGGGGCTGTAATAG